CATAATTAAAATTTAAAAATTTTGTACAACCGACTTCAAAAACTATTGGTCAGACTTTGATCAAAAGCTTTCAAATAAAAAAAAAATCATCGAAATCGGTTCACCCAGAAAAAAGTTATGAGGTAACACACATAAAAAACAGTCGAATTGAGTACCTCCTCCTTTTCGAAGTCGGTAGAAAATATAAAATTAACCTTTAGATACACTCTACAGACTTTATATTATTCATAGCTAATTGCTCATTCAGTCCGATCTGTCAGTAACTATTTGTTGGTAACATTTTTTTGGCGATTTTTTGAAGCTCTTCAGAGCGACATTCTTTGATACTATGGCCATACTGTCGTGATATGGCAATAATTTTGGCCATAATTGAAAGAATACCTAGTAGATTTATGGTCATAATTTTACAATGTCAATCAATATGGCATATGATCACAACACAATTACTCTCTACCAAGAGAAGAATGCCAACTTCATACTAAAAAACGGAAACACGCGTTTATGAGTGTATACTAAAAGCGCTATGGTGGACGCCCATATAAAACTTTTTAGCGGGATTTTCAAATCACTGTATTCTGTAACTTTAAACTTTTTATTTAATGCATATTCGAGTAATTTGGGCTCAAGCCTCACAAACCTATGGGGTGAATTCCCACACATTTGAGAGGTTGCACCAAAATTACTCGAATATACTCTAGATTAGTATGTGGGATAAAATAAAAGTCTAAATAAGTATAGTTATGTAATTTTATTTTCTGGAAGACAGATTGTTTTATAAACTATACATTATTATTGATATTTTTTATTGCTTTTCCTTTGCACATAATATTTCCACGCTTGTTATTGATATTATAACACATGTTATTGTCAGAGAGTTATATATATTCTTCACAAAACATTAACTTAAATTTAATTCAGCAAAATTCTTATGATGAAAACTTAACTCAGCCCAAATATATGATCTGAAACAGATAAAATTCAAGTTAATATAGTAATAATTTCTACTAACAACGATCAATGAATTTAAAATGCTTAAAGACTACACTATATTGTCAAAAGTTTTTCTTCTTCTATAGTAGGAAACCTGCAGAACATGATTAGATGATTTTGTGCTTTTTGTTTGCACAACGCTTAATTTACGTTCGATTCTGATCACACATCGTGAATAAAAAAATAAAAAATTGTAATAATAAATTTATAGTCAATATCTCATATAGAGTCATCTCACAAAAAATATTTACAGACACAATCGCAAAGAAACGCCTACAAACGAAAATGAAGTATTCTGAACCGATAATAACTGAATTGCAGCAAAAAGCAATAACAAATTAAACCTATTAAATAAATTTTAATCAATTTCACAAAATATTTTCAAAATGAAAGACGTTGACAAATAAATGTCATTTTTTTTTCTTCGATTAATTCATGGTTTCTCTTGATAGAATTCTGCTAATATTTAATAACTTAATTTAATTAATTAATAGATCAATTAATTGTGCAAAGCTCAAAGTAATATGTATGTAAAGAAAATATATTTTCTTTAGTTAAAATAAAGGCCGCGCTGCTAGCGCCAGCGAATATAGTCAGCCTTTTTTTAGTTAGTCTGTGGTCGAATGAATTCCATTATGAAAACTATTGACGTTAGGAATTGATATTGTAATTAATAACATTAAATGTCGTTTCTTTTATTACAGAGAAACTCAGTTGTGTTTTGATTTACGATATCATATCACCTAATTGTTGAACAAATATCATTATAAAACGACATTTCTTGTAATTATCAAGAAAATGGAGAAGCTAAAATTCGTATTCAGATCAAAAGCTACAAAAGATGGAAAAACAACCTATATCGCCATAACCTCAATCATTACACAAAATGATAAAGTTTTCCTGATCCCTGAGGAGTATGAAGCAGCGTCACTTCACAAATATGTTTACGCCTCTAAGGCTTACAATATAGTGCGAAATACAATAAAGAAAAGACATCAAACTAGAAGTGTTTGGATAAAACTAACACCAGATATGCAAAAAACATACTTTGATGAAGATGAAAACATGATATTTGAGGACCAATACCTAGAGGAAGTTACTGAAGAACAATTGGCTACTATTAACAAAAACAATTCCGAAGATCACATGGTGAAAATTTTGGAAAAATTAGTTGAAAGTCAACAAAGAAAGGAAAAACAAAGCGTAAAAAATTAGCAGACAGATTTGTACTAGATAAATTTGATGACAAGAATGTTAGTGCATGTCAGTGGATGGAAGATTTCGAAAAGGAATGTACAAGATTTGATATAGTACAAGATGAAGAGAAAATTGAAATCCTCAGATTATTTCTAGAAAAATCATGCACTGATTGGTATACTTCCATGATGATTAAGCTAAGTTTGCAATCGGAATGGTCGAAATGGAAATCAAACTTTGTAGAAACCTATGCAAATAAGGGTTGGACTAGTAGTAAATATGCCTTAGCTTTCAAGTATCAATCAGGATCTTTATTGGAATATTCCATTAAAAAGGAAAAACTTTTACTTGAAGTAAGAAAGACAATTGATCAAGGGACCTTGATTGATCTAATCGCTGCTGGATTGCCAGACTTTATAACAGATAAGATCAACAAAGAAGAAATATTAGAAACAAAAGACTTATTCAATGAAGTCGGTAAATTAGAACATTTGGCCATCAAGAAAAAGTTTATGAAAAAGAAAGATGATACTAAACCATCGAAAGAAAAGATGCAAAAATGTAGCATTTGCGAGAAGCTAAAGAAAGGAGTACGCTATCACTCAGAAGATTCATGCTGGTTTAAAACAAAAGACAAAGAAAATGAAAAGAAACAAATCAAACTTATTAATAATTCAGAATTGGAATGTGAACTGCAGTGTGAAGAACCAAAAAACTAATAGTGCCGCCATTAATTAAAGTAAGGTTAGTATTGAATAAAAACCTTGAAGTATTTGGAATCTATGATTCAGGCTCAAACGTGTCCTTGATAAATTCAAGATTACTGAAATTTAAACATAAAACATTAGGTTATTCCAACGATACTAATTTAAAAACAATTAATGGCGTTAAAAAGGCAAGTGGTATAATAACACTTGACGTAAATATTTTTAATGTAGAAAGAAAAATGGATGTCTTTATAATAGATCAAGAAAATTTTGATCATGATTTTTTGATTGGGCTAGATTGTATTAAAAAATTCTATTTAATACAAACTGAAAACTTAGAAATCAGTCAAAAAGTTCCAATACAAAAAAAATATATTAAAAATTCAGAGACAAACAACGTTTCTAAGGAAACAATAACAAAAAGGTTAGAGATTGACAATATTTCTAAAGAAATGAAAAATAAAGAGTCACAAAATGAAATAATTCAAAAGGAAATAAAATTTGAAAATTCTCAAAATGACAAAAAAACCTTATTAACTTTAACGAATACTTCAATAAAGAAAATTTCATTATTTGGATAAACCATTTAGACATTGACAAACAGGCAATAATTGATGATTTAATAACAAAGAATAAATCTGTTTTTGCAAAAGATAAATATGACATTGGCACAGTAAAGGATTATGAAGCACACATTGATTTATTAGTAGAAAAATATTGCAGTAAAAGACCATATCGTTGCACAATCGAAGATAAAAAAGAAATCGAACAACAAATTGCACAATTATTAAAGAGAAATTTGATCGAAGAATCATATTATAGTCCATTTGCGGCACCAGTAACATTAGCTTACAAAAAAGAGGAAAACACAAGATCAAGATTGTGTATAGATTTTCGAGACCTAAATAAAATTGTTGTGCCGCAATCACAACCGTTTCCTCTTATTGAGGACCTAATGATAAAAACAAGAGATTGAAAATATTTCTCCACACTGGACATAAACTCAGCGTTTTGGTCAATACCTCTACGTATTACGGATAGACACAAAACTGCGTTTGTGACACAAGAAGGTCACTTCCAGTGGACGTGTTTGCCATTTGGCCTAAAAACTTCGCCAGCAATATTTCAGAGAGTAATGTGTAACATAATAAGAAAACACAAACTTGCAGAGTTCACAATAACTTACATAGATGACATTTCAATATTCTCCAAATCTTTCTCTGATCATGTCAAGCATCTAACAAAGCTGTTCCAAGCAATTAAAAGTGAAGGATTTAGACTTAAATTCTCCAAATGCACATTTGCAGCTAACTCAGTAAAATATCTGGGTCACATAATACAAAATAATTCAGTTAGAACTCTGAAAGACAACTTGATATCAATTAAGAATTTTCCAACACCAAAAACACAAAAAAATGTGAGACAATTCTTAGGAAAGATAAATTTTTATCATAAATATGTACCAAAAATAGCAATAAAATTGGAGAAACCTTTTGAGAAAAGGACAAGCCTTTACTTGGACCAAAGCATGTCAAGAATCATTTGATGAAATGAAACAAATATTATGTTCTCAACCGATATTAACGATTTATGATCCAAAATTGCCTATACACATATACACAGATGCTAGTATACTAGGAGTGGGGGCCGTCCTAAAACAGCTGCAAGAAAATAAGGAAGAAAAACCAGTAGCATACTTCTCAAAAAAATTGAATGAAGTACAAAAAAGGAAGAAGCAACATCTGTTTATAGGTAGGAAATTCACTGTTTTCTCAGATCACAAACCGTTGGAGAATATGAACATAAAATCAAGAACTGATGAAGAACTAGGAGATTTAACATACTACCTATCACGATATGATTTTGAAATAAAATATTCCCCAGGAAGATACAACTTGGAAGCTGATTGCCTGAGCAGGAACCCAGTCTTAGATCACACTTAATAAAACTAAAAGATATTTTAGAAGATCAAGAAATAAATAAATATATACATTTCAGGAAAGAAAAGCTAAAATCAGATCACAATATTTATTATAAAAAGTTAAGAAAAAAGATAAAATAATTCTCTCGGAAAAATTTAGCAGGGAATTCATTAAAAGAATACATATGGACCTAGGTCACATAGGAATAAATCAAATGCAAAAAACAATAAGTTCACTGTATACAGCTGAAAACTTAACAAAGAACATAAAAAAAACCTGTAAAGATTGTACGGTATGTATAAAAAACAAATCAAGGGGACATAACAAATATGGAATGATGTCTCATTTGGGCCCGGCTACGAAACCCTTTGAGATATGTTCTATTGATACAATTGGAGGTTTTGGAGGTTCCAGGTCCACAAAAAAGTACTTGCACCTACTATTAGATCATTTCACGAGGTATGCATTTATTTTGACATCAAAAACTCAAAATGCAAATGATTTTATTAAACTAGTGAAGAACACCGCAGAAACTGACAATATTGGCATGATTCTCTCTGATCAATATCCAGGTATTAATTCAAAGGAATTTAAAAAATTTTTAGAAGACCAACATATTCAACTAATTTTTACTGCAGTGAATTCACCCTTTTCGAATGGTTTAAATGAGAGACTAAATCAAACATTGGTTAACAAAATTAGATGCAAGATTAACGAAAAAGATACTAAAGTAGCATGGACGACCATAGCACAAAATTGTGTAAAGAAATATAATGAAACGGAGCATACTGTCACTAGATATGCTCCCACGTATCTATTAAATGGCACCGATGTTACGATTTTGCCTAATGAGCTAAAACCAAAGAAGACAGAGACCAATTGGATTCAAGACAGGAAAAAAGCTCTAGAAAATACACTTCAGTCACACAATTACAACAAGACACTTTATGATAAAAATCGTATACACTTCGACTTCAAAGTGGGTGATATGATTTTTGTGGAAAATGGCAACATGCTAAATAGGAAAAAGCTTGATGAACTGAGAATCGGACCATACAGAATAATGGAAAAATTGTCTAACACGATTTACAGGATCAACTCCGGTTATAAAAAAGCAGAGTCTAACTTTTTCCATATCTCAAAATTGGTTCCAGCTCCGATGCTTGACGAAGATGACTAAGAAGTGTAGAAAAGTCACAATAGGTTATATTTAATGATTAACTTTCGTAATATTTTGTATGTGTTATCTTTCCCAGGGGGGGTGATGTAAAGAAAATATATTTTCTTTAGTTAAAATAAAGGCCGCGCTGCTAGCGCCAGCGAATATAGTCAGCCTTTTTTTAGTTAGTCTGTGGTCGAATGAATTCCATTATGAAAACTATTGACGTTAGGAATTGATATTGTAATTAATAACATTAAATGTCGTTTCTTTTATTACAGAGAAACTCAGTTGTGTTTTGATTTACGATATCATATCACCTAATTGTTGAACAAATATCATTATATGTATATAATTACTGGAAAGTGCAAACAAAAAAGAAATATAGCACAAAATTAACATTTTCAGTTTCTTCCAATATAATAATTATGTATATATGTATCTAATTTTTAAAATGGCAATCTGAGGCAACGCGAAGGAAAGAAACAGCTATATTTTTTTCTCGCTTTATTTTTACAAGCCCTACAGAAATATTGACAAAATCATGATTCTGTGCAGATTTCTCAGCTTTCAAACAAAGTTGCATCATCCTGCATATGACGGTAGGCAATAGGTACGGTGGCGATGTTTTTCGCATATCAAAGACGATTATCGTGGTCATTTTTGCGTCAAGTGGCCACACTACAGTTTGTTCAGTGTGCGGCATGAGCTCAACGGATGCGCATCATCCACCATCTTCATTTAAGTCTTAATTTAGTTTTGTAAAATGTAAAAGATTCATGTAACTGACACTACAACACCGTCCCAGCTTCAACCTCCATCTTGAAAAAAAGAGTAAAAATTATGTCAAAATTTTTCACTGTCAAAACCTACGTATATTTAACTTATTGTTATTTCGAGGCCAATTCTGACTTACAAATTTCAACAAAAAGATCAGTAAACATATAAGAGATTTGTTATAATAATTATTTTTTTTATTTCAGACATAATACTCATTTATAAAGGAAAATATTTCTGCTGCGTCGTTGTCAACTGTCAAAGCATAACGACTACATACAATTTTTATCAATATGGAAAAAATCCAGGGAAGTTATGTAATAATATTTTATTTATAGAGTAAATTGCTTTTATTTAGGCCGTTAATGATTGTGTTTCAGGGAAAGATGCGGGGTACAGCACATTTCAAGTTAATATGAAGCTATGTAATATAAAGTCTTTTGAGTGCTGTAGAGATCTGTTTAGATTTTTTAATGAATATCTCTGCTCCACTACATTCACAGCTGGATAGGTACGACTTTCCATTGACGGCCGTAGAGTTGGGGTTTGATATTTTAGTTTATTTTTACAGAAAGGTCACATTATTATAAGCACACACGCAAAGTTTCAACACGCGGAAACGCGTACTTTTTGAGAAAAAAATTATTGAAAATCAATTATTTTTGCAATATTTATGCCAATCCCCATTGACGTCCGTCAAGTTGGGGTCGATATTTTTTTTACAGAAAGGTTACATTGTTATAAGCACACACACAAAGTTTCGACATTCGGAGACGCGTACTCTTTGAGAAAAAAAATATTGAAAATCAATTATTTTTGCAATAGTTATATCAATTCCTACCGTAAAACTGACGCTATTTTGTACTGTCATTGTCACTAGGGATATCGATTCTCTCCGAAAAAGATAGATTTTTTAAATCGATTCGAATTTGAAGCTGATGTATCGATTCAAAATAAATTGATTTTTAAAATATCGATGTTTTTTCATGTTTGAATTAATAATGTAAATATAAATCTATTTTAATGTGAAAAAAATCCCTTTCGTCAGAAAAAAATAGGGGGTCAGATTCGGAGGGATTTCTGTATCTATTTTGAGACTGCAACGTCTCCGGCGCTGCAGGAAGAGCAGCCTCTACGCCTTTGTGTAACAAATCGCAGGCATCGGACAAGCCGGAGCGGCTGAGGCTGGTTCGGAAGCTGCGGAGGCGGAGGCTGCTCCCCCTACGCGCCTCCGGCTCTATAAAAACACTCTAGGGGTAGGACAGACTCGTACCAGGTGGGGTCGGGGTCAATCAATTCAGTTCTTTGATATAAGTTGAACCCAACCTATTTTATTTGTTATCTGCCCTAATAGGTACTGTTAAAATAAAACAAATTTCAATAAGAGATCATTTATTATGGTATCTTTTTTGTTTTTCATAAAATGGATTTATATTTACATTATAAATGCAAACATGAAAGAATATCGATATTTTAGAAATCGATTTTTTTGTGAATTGATACATCAGCTTACGATTCGAATCAATTTAAAAATCGATCTTTCTCGAAAGAATCGACATCCCTACTGACGATGACAATGACAATACAAAATAGAGTCAGTTTTACGGTAGGAATTGACATAAATATTGCAAAAATAATTGATTTTCAATAATTTTTTTCTCAAAAAGTACGCGTCTCCGATTGTTGAAACTTTGTGTGTGTGCTTATAACAATATAACCTTTCTGTAAAAAAAAAAATATTAACCCCAACTTGACGGACGTCAATGGGGATTAGCATAAATATTGCAAAAATAATTGATTTTCAAGGCGTGAAGTAGTGGTTCCACTACTTCACGCCGTAATTTAGGTAGTAATTTAATTCCATAATTATTGCCATAAACGGGCGGTAGACGGTATGGTAGTGTGACCGTAGCTTAACTGTGCGACTGTTTGACCACAGACCATGCCATTGACGATGTGTTAGGGTACTTCCCGTAGAATGTTTTATTATAATCAATTTAATGTATTTGTAAAACACATTATATATATTTGCTTTCTGCACTTCTTCTCCATATAAAACTAACTATGCCAAAGCTGACACTCCTCCGTACACGCAATGTGTTAAAAAAGGGGGTACAAAGCATTTTTATTTACTCTTCTGTGCCAGAGCTGTAGTTGACTACAGTCCCACCCATATTCTATGATCCCACCTGATGGTAAGTGGTGATGTAGCCTAAGATAGTGACGCGCATTAACTTAACAAAAGCCTATATTCACTCTTGCCTTGAAGACACCTACATTGTAATCGGATGGACAGACAGATGCTGGCAACTTATTCCACTTCTTTGATGTATGCATGACTAACGATGTAGCAAGCCATTTGGTTCGAATGCGTGGTAACTCTACAACGTGAGGGTGGAGACTGACCGAACGTCTGGTTGTCCGATGGTGGAAGAGATAGGGAGGAATTAAGTTATCAAATTCCTGCGCATACTCTCCGAAATATATCCAGTAAAAAACCGAAAGGCTAGCTACTTTGTTCGAGGTTGGTAAGATTGGTTTTAACCAGATTCGGGTCAACAATAAGCCTCTTATCACGCCTTTCTCTACACGTATGAACATACAGATAATGTCTGTACTATATGCTCCCTAGGTGTACAAAATTCAAGGTTATGACTCCAATTACGTTACACATTTTGATACTCGCAAAACTCACTCATTAAACCCCTCATAGGGTACTTCCCGTTGAGTTAGTAGCAGTTGCTTAAATCATAGAATCTATAGTAAAATACGACGTCCTTGGAAATGCTATGAAGCTTGGCGCCCGTTCAGATCTTAACTCTGTTATCGGCGAAGCTGACTACCCCGAACGTCGTTTGTGCCGAATTTGGTCCCCCTTTTTCACGCCTCATAACTCGAAGCGTTTGGTGTGTGCTACTCTCGACACGTCAAGGTCAAACAATTTTGTGTTCTTAAAATGCCTCTATCATAACTATATTAAACTTATACAATAATATGAGTAGCCGTATATCAAAAAAAAAAAACACTAATTAAACCATCTTATATTTTCTAAAAAATCATTTAATATTGCTACTTTGGAAAAAAACGGCTTGAAAATTTTTTACGTGCACGTCCGGATGTTGATTTTGAATGTAGTCAGTAGTCACGATAACCCCCGCAAAAATTGACGTATCGAGCGAGACCAGGTTTTTTATTAGATTCAGAATTACATCAACTGGTTCACTATTTCATATCAATAGCCTAGTATGCGTAGTTTGTTAATAAAATGATTTTCAAGTTTTCAAACCATACAGCCTATATCGATTTTATACTTTATGTATAATCGATTTATTTTGGTAAATATTATTATTTTTCAATATTTCTATACCTGTTAAAATAATACAACGCTAAATTTAATACACGTAAATAATATATTTTAAAAGTCTGGAATACAATTTATTTTTTATCAAAATTAAATGAAACTGACATGAGGCGTGCACTTTTGCTAACTATTTACATTTATGTTTTTGGTTGATTTTTAAAATCGTAATAGTTACCTATCGGTGCTATCTAGAGCTATAAGGAATATCATTACTGTCTGAAAGAAGTTTTTTTTTCCTTTTATTGATCTAAATAATACTGTGAGCTTTATCCTAGAAGAGTGGAAGTCAGTGGAAGTGTAGCAAGTCATACGACGTCAAACTCATATCACTTTCTTTAGCATAATTATCAACATTGACGCAGGAAATATAAAAAGGAATTACTATCATGCTTATTATAAATACAATGCATTCCTGTTACTGTCAAGGATAATGTTCAGTTGGTAGGTCATTAATACTCACTTACTTCATGTTTCTTTTGCACGCGAACTAGAGCCCTTGTGGAATTCATATTTATAATCTTAATGAAAAAAGAAAACAAGCATTTTATTGTAAGGTTAAATGCGTAATTTTATTTTTATTTCTAGCATTCTTTATTAGTTTTTATTTTAAATAATCCATTCAAGGAATTTCTCATGCATACTTGAGCCGTTTTTCACATACGACTTTCACATGGACAAACAAAAAACGATCAAATTTTCGAGTATCATACTAAGATCAAGTGGTTCCAGTGGTGGCGTAAAGGGAGGGCGGTGGGGACGATACGCCCGGCCAAGCACCAGGGGGTGACAACGACAACTCACTCGCACTGCCATAGAATACTTACAGAAGAATTACTTCGCAAAGACACCAATATATAAATAGCTACCTACTATCTATCTACCT